GGGGGGGAGAAATATAGTTAATGTATTATATGAGTAAAGAATGCAGTAATGGTGATCACCCTACAGTGGCACAAGTGAAGAAGGACTGACATAGCTAAAATAGGTTGGCTACTTACGCTGGCTTTGTTTTCCTATCTCTAGGGTGGACACATGGCTACTAACAAATGCCTGCTCTCTGTGGCTTCCTGAAAATAGCCAAATGACTACAGATTGCCAGGCAGCTGTATTCTGATGTCATTCTCCCCAGTGCTGTCTCCAAAGCCAGTGTGAGACAATCACTGTCTCCTTTTTCCAGCAGTTTCCAGCTAACCATGACATTCAAACATTTCATAGAAGTATCCAAAATGTTTGTTTTCTCTAATGCTACCTAAAATTTTTATCTTCAGATAAGAACATGTCCTTCAAATTTTTATCTTCATCATAAAAAGCAGATCCTTGAGTTATAGGCAGTTTTTACATTTTAAAAGCAGTGGTCAGCTGTGAGTATGTTGTTTATGTTGGTCAACTTTAAAACATTCTTTAAAATGATATAGTATATATAAGGACAAAAAAGTAGCAGTAAACTAGTCAGATGTGACTGAGAGTAATTTTTATAATAATAATAATAATACTGGGGAAATAGAATTTGAAGTTCAGTTTAATATAAGAAAACAAAATAAAAATGTTGTCTGTCCTACTAAAGAATCAAAATTTCAGCATTAAGTCTTCATCGTTCCTTCTAATATACTGCATTTAAAAATGTCTGGGGATTTAGCTCATTTGTTCTGCTGATTGCCTTGCAAGCACAAGGTCCCAAGTTCGATCCCCAGTACCGGGGGAAAAAAAAAATACTGAATGAAACTTAGTAATGAAAAACAATATTCCAGCAGCAGTCACTCTATTCTTTGAGTATTATAATATTGCCAAATTTTGTTTTTAAATTGATTATAAATTGTATAGAATCCTTTGACTACTGGTGGGGTAAATATGGCCATTCCAGTACCCATTTAGGTTACAGATCTGAAAAATCTCAAGTTACCAAGCCATATTTCTCAGTTTAACACCACTAGGATCATTTATCCAATGATCACCGTGTTATCACAGCTTCCATTGCGTCTCCTGTTTAAAATATAGTGAAACAACTTTTGGAACATATCTGCCTACAGACATCTTTATTTTCTTCCGAGTATGTCTCATGGTGGACTATATATTTAGTTGCTTAGAAACCTACCTAATGGATAGCTGACCCTCACTTTTTGTTTCTGGCTGGTTATGCAGATTATCACAGATTACTAATATATTTTGTGATAATTTAAATGCAACATTGTTGCATATAATCTGTAAATGTACTCAACCAATTAAATTTTTAATATTGTTAATGAGATACACTTACTGGCTTGTGTTTTTTTTTTTGTCTTAATATTACTGAATATCTCACAACTGATTCCCAGTTATTAGCAGTAATTAAAACGCTCTCCTCTTGGAATTGAAGTTATAAAATGTGGCAAAGGTACAACTTCCTTTATGTACCAAATTTTGGGTATGACGTGCTGTTCTTCATATGATGGGAGGCATTATGGATCAAATACCAAAATGCAGCCAGGCATAGGGGGTGGTGCACACTGGTAACCCTAGCATTCTGGAAGGCTGAGGTAAGATGGAAAGTTTAAGACCAGCTGGGCAACTTAAGGATTTCACAAAACCCCAACCCAAAATTAAAAATTAAAAAGTGTTGGAGATTGTAGCTCAGAACAAAGGCCCTGGATTCAATCTTGAGTAGTACACACAATGTATCATAAACATAGCAGTCTCAGTTTCTGTGCTCAGTAGTACATTCTGAAACTTCACTTTGTGGAAGAAACAAGGAGACCAACATCTCTTATTTATGTTCTTTCCCACTTTCTCCTTGCAACTCCCCAGTCCTGCTGGCAAAGAGCTTCCTGATCAGCTGATTGGTAGTTTCTTCCTACATGTGTCAGGGCTTGTGTCTAGTATTGGTTATCACCAAGCAGTTTCAGATTCATTTGGAAGTAAGTTGTTTTCCGACCCCTAATGAACATAAACTAAATAAGTGCAGTTGTATTTTCAACAAAATAATTATCTTAACATGATTTGTGAAATATATTGGGTAAAAAAATAGCTTTGAGGTTGTAAACCCATTTTCTGATCCATAAATAAAATTCCCATTACTCTTCAGAAGCAGAAGTAATGAGGGTCCTTTTAATTCTCACAGGCTTCATTTAAAATTTGTATTTATTGTGAATTAGTTATTGTGCAGAAAAACTTGGGGGCACACTTAAACTATAAAATGTAAATGTCTTCATGATTCCTAAATGAGCATAAAAATAATATTTCATATATATGCACATCTGTCTTTTTGCTCATATGAAAAATGTACACATACATTAATATCCGTTTGGATGGTAACTGTACTTTTAAGTGCTTATAATAGTACATGCAAAATGAAACCATATTTGGGGATGGCACATGGCACCTGCAATTCGTTCGACAAATTTGTTTGTTCTTTTTTGTTTGTTTGTTTGTTTTTGGTGGGGGGTACCCAGGATTGAACTCGGGTCCTTGTGCTAGCGAGGCAGGCCGCGGAACCACTGAGTTAAATCCCCGGCCCTGTTCTTTTTATTTTTTGAGACAGTATCACTATGTAGTTGAGACTGACCTGGAACTCACTGTGTAGCCCAGGCTGGTCTTGAACTCTCAGTGTTCCTCCTGCCTCAGCCTCCCAAGTGCTGGGATCACAGGCGTGCACCACCACGCCTGGTTAACAAATGGAATTTGTTGGCCAAAAATATGTTTGAACAGCATCTCTTCTGCTGTTGCTACATACTACCTTTTATGTTCTATAAAACTTTGCTGGACCATAAATACAAAGTTCTGTTCTTGCGTGATTTAGTATGTCTGAATGAAGGGCTTTATGAGGTTTGGACTTTATTATATCCTTTGAGAGATCACCAGTCCCCCTTGAACTCACTGTGTAACCCAGGCTTCAAACTCACAGCAATCCTGTCTCAGCCTCCCAAGTAAGTGCTGGGATTGTAGGCGTGCAACACCACACCTGGGTTTCTCACTGATTTAATAATTCATCAGTCTCAGATGGTAAAATGGTATTTTGCTAGCATTGTTTTCATTATATGGAAACTTTTTGTCAGGCACGTTGACACACTCCTATAATCCCAGCACTCTGGGAGGCTGAGGCAAGAGGATCACAAGTTCAAACTCAGGCACCTCAACTTGATGACTTAATAAAACTTGGACTCAAAACAAAAAGAAAATTTAAAAAGTAGAAACTTTAAAGTGTCTGTACTTTACTGTGACATGTGACAGAGACTGCATTAGACCTCCCGCTGTTGAGGGGATAAATGGAATGGTGTCTTGCAAGCAGATCAGCCTACCCTAAAGAAAACACTCTCAGGTCACAGCATCTAATCCCCCATCAAAACAGCAGTTATGGATAGAATTCTAGAAAACCCTGGACATGATAATTCATATAAATTCTCCTTGAAATACCCCAACTTCATCACTCACAATTTTGGTATGAGAAATTTTCTAATATAATTAATAATACACCTGTCTTTTTTTTTTTTCAAGATCAAAAAATATTTTGAACTTGAACCACTTGCACGAGGAAAACGCTGGATTCTGCAGCCCTGCTCGCTGGATGACATGGATGTGCTGAAAGACAGCTTCTCTCAGCTGATAAGTTTGTTAGAAGAAAAAGACCATGAAGCTATGAGAATGTGAATCTAGCAGAAAAAAAGCGAGTTCCTAAAAGGCCTTGAACCTATCATGTTAGTTTCTTGTTTTAATTTTATATTGTTATTAGGACTATCATGACTCCACTATCTATTTCCTGCTAGTTATTTCAGGCTCTCTTCTCTCTGTTAAAGTGAATATTCTGTAAGTCAGGTGAATTATCATCAGCATTAATGTCAAGTACACTACTGAGAGAGAATTTATTCTCTGTTTACCACTAATTATCTTCACCGCCTGTCTCTTCCTTCTGTTGTTCTGTGCATCTCTTTTATACTTTGTGCAAAAATGGATGGAATTCATGGCTCACAGAAATCAAATCCCTTATGATGGACGAACTAAGAAAGACTCAGTACCTTGACGAATTTTCCCTGGTTTGGGAGTGAAGTATTGTGTCACTGAGATGCCACATAATATGTATGTCGTTTTTCTGTTTTGTTTTGTTTTTTTTTTTTTACTCTTATTTGCCTTTTTATATACTCACCCTATAGAGTATGAGTGAAAAGTGAGTACCAAAAATTTTCCTTTATCATTGTATCATAAAGGAATATCCTGCCATAGTAAATTTAGCCTTGAAGAACTTAAAGACCAGATGCACAATGTTTCCTTGATTATATCTGAGGTCTCACTTTATTCCCTCTTTTAAGAGCAAAGACACTGTTTTAGATTTTGAGGAGTTGAAGGCAGTTTCGGCACAATGCATGCATTATTAATTACATTTAATTGTGTCCTCAAATATTTTTAGTGGAATAATTAGTCTTCATTAAATCAAGCTGCAACATAATATACATGCCTTTTTTTTCTAAAATTCAAGTGTTAGAAATAGAGAAAATAATTTTTTAAATAATAGATTAAAATTTTAAAATAGCCAAGCAAAGTATAGTTTTTACTTATTTGGGTTTAAGCTGGAATGGATTTGACAAAGATATCAAAGACAAAAATCATCTGTATATTTATTCATTAAGTGCTAATGTAGTTTAATGGAGTCTGTTAAAGCCTCCAACTAGTAATTAAAGGTCTATCAGTATTTCTATTCTAAACCTCTATTTTCAGGGGTTTCAATGTGCCCTTTAAAATATGCTGGAGCTGCAGCAGGTAAATAATTTGAGGGCCTGAATTCAGTCTTTGGAACTAATTTTTTCCATGTTATTAAATGATAAAACTGCGTGGAGATAAATGTAGTTTTAATAAGGTTTAATGCCTTTGACCTTTTCTAAATCAGGAATAATCTATGGATATTGAGGTTCATAGATGAAATATTCTTTGGCACATTTTCTAGACATTTGACCACTTATTAAAATACTAAGTGGCCAAATGATAGAAAACTGCTCCCTACACCTGAGCAGTAAAAAACATACTTGTAATTTTTAAGTAGTGTAGACTGATACCCAAATACCACAGACTCCTACTGTGTTAAAAGATGACATCAAACCTGGTAATTCTCCCCAGCCAGTATACTTCAGACTCTTCACATCATTCAAAGACAGTTTTGTGATTTATATTTATAAATGGATTTTAATGACATCATCACCTTTGAAACATCCAACATTTCTTTATGCTCCCCTTCCACTGTCAAGGATCCCAAAAGATCCACAGTATATACAATTTTGTCTGCAATTTCCTTGAATATTTCTAACACCATGCAATCCGTGAGTAGCACAGAACTTCTATTCCAATGATCAGTTGCACAATTCCTGTTTTTATTTTGTCCTATTGTGCTCATCTTCTATGAAACAATAAGTGATTATTAGGCCTTGCTTTCCCTGCAAGTTCATTAAATGTAAAATGTTGTCTTTTTAAAGATACTGTGGCTCAGTGTGCCCAAGCCATCTGTTAAATGACTTCCCGTTGTCTGTGTGTGTTCATGTGTGCGCCAGTGATGGGCTTCTCCTCAGACCCAAGACTGTCTGCAGTGTCTCAGCCGTCAGAATGAAAACATTATCAATCAGTACCCAACAACAGCTGTTTTTGACAAGTTTCTGTCTGACGCCTAATGCTTTACAACTGTCAATAAGGCTCCTTCTTTGTCTAGCAGGTCGGAGCTCGCTGTCTTGCTGCTTTCAGAGCAGCATCCTGTCCTTGTAACCCTAGAATTTGCCACGTTTTGGAAATCCATGTGGGGGAGGGGTGGGGCCTTGTTGGGGGGTGGAAGCCAGGAGGGGGGTGTGTGTCCTATTCCTACTTTCCAGTAAAGTGCCACAGGTGTCTTAGTTTGCATATTCAAATATTATATAGGGAAAACAGTCTGTTGTGTATTTCTTCAATTAGCTTCTTGTTATATTTATGGAAGTTACCAGTTTTTGTACCTTCTTAGCTACAGCAGTTGCCTTTTTAAAATGGCAATTAATTTATATAAAACTTTGTACCTACTGTAGTTTACAGTATCAGTTGCTATTAACTGCCATATTGCCCTGTCTTTCTATTAAAAATACTGTATCTATATTAAGGATTAACAAATTCATGTGGGCATTTGCCAAACAAGAAGAACTTGTTATTGTCCTTGATTTATATATGATTCCCGGTATCATCAAATGAAAATAAATGCTGAGTAGAACTGATGTTTTCAGACTGACTCCTTTGGCCATTAACATTTGGGAGTCCCAGGCTTCTGTTTACATTTGTGCCTCCTATGTAAGTCTTCAAAATAAGCTTTGCTGCTTTGGGGTCAAAATAGATTAATTTGCATTTCTATCAAGCCATTTTGAAAACCTTAAAAAAATAACCAATTGTCTTCCATTTCGTTTACCCTCAGCAGCAGTTCACTTTCAGGAAGCTGTTCCTTCAGAATAAGTGAACAAGTTTTAGATGTTAAAGTGTCATCCTTCAAAGGATCATTTTATAATTCTGGCCATAGAAGCAACTTTCTAAGAGTAGCTCTGTTTGGCAACTATTTCTTTCAATGGTGATTGAATCCCTTAGGAAATTAGTAGGTAGTTTTGATTGACTGGAAAAAAATATTATATATCTATAGGGTTTTTTTCTTCTTACAAATAAGAATAATCTATAAAAGAGAGTAGGAAAGTAAAATCAAATAATAAGTGGATAGAAGAAAGAAAAAGGAATGGCAGAAAAAAAATACTTAATAGAAGATGAAAAATGCAAATCCTAACTCCTGTTTGGTCCCAAATGTAATATTATCCTGACCTTTATTCTTTGACTGTGCAGAGAATTTACAACACTTTACTTCTAAGCAGGGATTGACCTGCATTCTCAGTCTTATTTCTATGGTAGGGAAGGAACAGCTATCCACTTTTTCAAACATCTCAGACTTACCCAACAGGTATTAACAGAACTTTATGATTCTGAAGCAACTGTAGTTTTCTTCATGTCCAGATTGCATATTTATACTCATGAAAATCCAATATTCGTGCCTTACTTCATCTTCTTTATAATTTTAAAGTGTGTTTTCATTAACCTCCTGACCTAATGGAGCAAATAGTCACAGTAAAAAGGTATGTATGGGGAGGTGGGGGTGGAAGTGAGAGGTGCCCTTTGGGATCCCTCATTTTCAGTGTGTTTGAAAGGGAGGGTTTGTCTTTGTTATGCAGAAACTAGAATATCAGGTCTCTGTCTTTTCTTGTTCTGCAGCCTGGGTTGGAGATCTGAAGTTCATGCTGTGAAATGTATTACCACATCAGGTTGGGAATTCCTGGCTCCCAAGGGTTCACAGCTTTTGGTCCTCAGTGAGTCAGTGTGATTAAATGATTTGCATCTCAGAGCTAAATGTTTTCCAGCTCAGATGCATGAAGTGACTGATGAGCCCAAGTTTTGGCACTTTACCCTGCCCCCACTCCTTTGTACTAATTTAGGTACTTGAAAATGGTCCCTTGTAAGACTCACAAGGCTTAGATGAGATATCAGTTCCCCTTCTCTTTCCTATTCTCTTTGAATTAAAACTTTAAAAAATTCCCCTCCTATCCATTGTTTCATCAGATCTAGAAATTCTGTCTTACCATCCTGGGAGTTTGTCTGTGACAACCTCTTCCTAATGTGACTTTCTGTAAAACCTAGGCAAAAAAGCTTGAAAATCACCAAGAAGAATCTCCCCGCATCAACCTTTATCGCGTCCTTTTTTTTTTTTTTTTTGTCCTTACAAAAACAATGAAGTAGAAAGTTCATGATTTTCTATCCATTTTCCTCCACAGTCTCATCTGCCATTCAATCTCTACGCCATGACGCATGCTCTGTTCACTGGGTCTTGGCTTAGAAAGGTGGCCTGTGGTATTTTCAGGCCAAGTATCCCACTTCCCTTTCTTGCTAAACTCAAGTTCTCAGATGGCACATGAGTGTTTCTGTGGAACACTATATGAACAACATATTTCTTACAAGGGCCTACTGTAGGCCTTATGGTTTTCAAACCAACTTTACTTGTTAAACACATCTTCTTGAGGCACTGATACTCTGGAGAATAAAGGATTGCTTAGACTTAATGCTTTACTAATCTCACTGAGCTTTATAACCCTGTCTACTTCTTGACTCCTTTCTTCCCCTGCTGCTCTAGCTAGGCATGAACCAACATGGATCCAGCCATCAAAATTCCCCTTTAAAAAAAGCAGGCTTTTATAAACTACCAAGGAATGGTGAAACTCTCACTCTCTTTTTTCTCATTTCTTTTTCAAAGATCTCTCCCTTAATTCTAGCTGATGCTCTGAAAATATTCCACACAAATATTTTAATGTGGTTCTTTCTAATAGCAACATTCCAGCTATGGAGGTGAGTTGTCACTGTGTTCCCCAGAGAAGAAAGCATGACTATGGGGCTATAGAGACAAATCAAAATAAGCACCAGGTTCCCAGTCTCCCTTATTTTCCTGTATTCTCATTGGATGGGGTAGAGAGAGTGCCCTGTGGCCTTTCAAAAAGCCTAAGATCACTTACATTACAGGCACCCCTTCCTTTAGGTGTGAAATCCAGCCTTCACTGACAACCTTCATTGCCACAACCTTCACTGACAAGTGATTCATTGAGACAAAGGCTGGAGCTCCACCATCAAACGGATGTCAGACAAAACACCAAACGCCTATAAATGATTGCTTTCCAAGCAATGGAATGACTGGAAGACCTGGCCTAACGATGTTCCCCGTGTCTGGACAAGCTTACAGAAGACGTGCGGGTGGGGGTGGTTGGTTTTAAGCAGAGTCTGGGAAGAAGGCTGTTTCTAGAGCAAGAAATGAAACCACAATTCTTACCTGAGAGGCTCACACTAGGAGGAATGATTTCAGGCCAATTTGTGTATAATATACGTAAAAGGCAATCCAAAAATGCATGTCAAGGAACACCCCAAAGGCTAAACTGGCACAATATGAGTAAATCATTAGACATAAATATCAGAGTAACTTAAAAATCAGAAGACTTTGTTGGAACGGAAACTGCTCACCAAAAGGCAAAGACAGGAATGCAAACAGTAAATCTGCTTGTCATTCTCTGTAATCTGCAGCAAGTCAGGTTTGGCTCTGGACCTTCTCCAGTTGTTTTACAACTTTCTAGACAAGAGGAGTATCGACCCAACTCTTACTAAGTAGCTTCAACAAGATTTTTCAAATGACAAATCAAGATTCAGCTTACCATTGTCCTTTTTTAGGATTTATTTAGCAATTAGGACTTTGTTTCAGTTTCAGAGATTTTGTTCACCTAATATTTTTGTTGAATGCTTACTCTATACCAAGCATTGTGTTGATTGCTAGCAGTAAATGATAGGCTTAGTCCTGTTTTTGCAGGACTTTAATTCCTGCAACATTGGGTAAATTGTACTGTTTCTGTGAGCCTAGAGATAGGGGGTTACATTTCATTAAAATTGCATATTGAGACTCTAGATTTTAAAATAGTTGTTGTGGGTTCTAAATCCTGGCTTTCAACTCTTCTAATTTAGAATTGTGTTTGAATGCTTCTTTTGAAAGCATTAATAAAACTAGGAATCTAAACATAACATAGAAAAGGCTTTGTCTCTTTTTTAGCATCTTTCCAAATAGAACCCTGTAAAGCTAGCACCTTTTATTCTATTTTACTGCCACAACAATGAAGCATGTGTCTGGCATACAAAAGTGCTTCCAAAGTGCAAAACCAAATTCTGTCAATTACCTACTGTTCTTTTCATCTTCTTCCCTATATCCAAAGGACTTTACCTCCTTCTTTAGAGTATCTGTGTCTCATCTTTCTGTCTGGGGATGGAACAAAAGATCTTTATTGGAAATATTGAATGTTGATTCTCGAAGAGGAAAAGTCTTGCTCTGTAGCAATCTTGTGTTTATTCTACCCAGCAGCACAGGCTATTGTATAAAAGCATGCCATAGTTCATATGCCTGAGCAGGGGCAGGAACCTGACAGCTACATAAACCTCTGTTTTTTGTTGTTTTTTTTTTTTTTTAACTTAGCCAGGTAACACAGAGTTTTACCTAGATTTCAAGAGCTGTCACATTTTTCCCTCAATGAGGTTAGGAGGTTGGAGGGACCCATTGTTTATCTCTACAGGATCCTTAATCAAAGTGATTCCTTTACCAAGAGTTAATGTTTTTAGAACACATTTGCATGATTTATTCCAACACCATTTACATTTACAAGAACACATAAACACCTTTTACCAGCCCCAAGTGCCATGCTGAATGTACTTCTTAGAATACCATAACCTTCCTTTACAGTTGGCCAGCCAGAATATCCAGATAAGAATTCAAAATGAACAGGTACCGAAGTCTTTCTATTCCCATTCATTTTGTCAACTTTTAACATCATTCAAATTTTTAGATAAACAGCAGGATCCAATGAAATCATATAATACTAGAGATTAAGTAAAATGTATGGGTTACAATTGGATGTCTGTGCACAATAATGGGTCTAAGCAAAGACTAACTAATATCACTAAGAAAGAAGCAAGCAGGCATTACGTGCTTCCAATAAAAGTGTGCAATACCATGTAGAAAGTATTCTTATAAAAAAATTGAATCTGAAACTGATGAATCTTCTAGATCTAACAATTCATAGAAAGTACAGAAATAGTAATGAAGTAATTAAAATCCAGACCTTTGGAAATTTGGCTATCCAATGAGGAAGTTTCTTAAATAAATGGCAAGAAGGAAAATGGAAACAAAGCAGTAGATCAAAAGAGTCTCAGGAGCTCTAAAGCAATTGCAGAGTTTGAACTTTACTTGGATTTTGTTCAAAACACTGGAATGTAAAAGTAAAAGTTGAGATAATTGGAGAAAAAAATTCAACACAATATTTTACAAATAAGGAGTATTTGTTATAATCTCAAGTGTGGTAATAAAATTGAATATTTTTAAAGAAAACTATTACTGATGCATGCTGACATTTATGAATAAAATATTATGATGCTAACAATTTACTTCAAAATTACCTAGGTAGAAAGAGGAGCAGAAGTAGATAGGGTTAATGATGAAACAAGATTGGCCATGGGTGATAACCACTGAATCCAAATGATGGTGTCATGTTTGTGTGACCTGGTTTCCGCTTCTGGGTGTGTAATTAACATTTTCCTTGAGAAGTTGTTGAAAGAAAGCATGAAAAGAGTAGAAGTAAGCTGCAGACTAGAAAATATTTACAATGAAAACCAAGTGTGCTGCCAGAATACATTTACAACTCCTGCAACTTAATGAGAAAATATCAA